AAAGCAATAAAAAAAATTGAAAAAGCAAAACAAAAAATGTTTTATGTGGCCTTTATCGTGTGCATTAGAATTGTGAAAACCACTTTCATTTTTAAAATTTATTTATAAAATAAATAAATTTAGAATGTAGAAATGGGGATTATTGGTCGGTTTTTGTTGTGTATTTGTGTATAAAAATTTAATAAACTAAATAAATAAAATGCACTATGTTTTTTGGGAGGGAGTATTGTTGCAGTGAGGTGCAGTGTGAGAATCTAGTTATAGAGTCCCAGCTCATAGTGCTGAGCACACTGAACTGGTGCAAATGATTTTTACGGTTCACAAATAAGTGTTAAACTAATTCATTTGCAGCGCAATCCTAACCATGTCCTTTCAAATGCAAATCCTGTGGAATTTAATGGACCTTAATCCCAGGCATATAGGATTGCAGGTTTGATTAGTTTATTTTTTTAAAAAATGCTCACCTGGAAAAATAATTGCATCAAATTCACCGACTTTCAACTCAGCCAAATCCTGGATGTCCCCTCTCGCAAGTCTAGCACTTTCAACTAAAACATTTCTCTTTTCTTCACTTGGACAACCCTTCAAATGATCAACAACGTGCATCTGCTCAATATTTGGTGCAAATATCTTTACCTGAAAAAGAAAAGGGAACACAAATACATATGGGTTACAAAGTAGCACTTTTGCTAAAGAGTCAAGATTAACCATGGGGTTTTTTTGCCAATTTTAAGCAAGATAATTTTGCGAGTACCAACATTTCAAGAGGTTTCTGAAATTCCAAAACGACAAAGAATAGGGATTTCAGCATCAATTGGTATTTTAGGTAACAAGATCTTTAAAACAGGGCTAAATGTTGCCTTTAATATAGACACATTTTTTTTAAAAAAAGAAAAGACTGACCTTACACTGGGCAACAATTTTTTACTTTTTGAATGTTGTCTAGATTTCTACAAGTGATTTAGACTATTTGCACTGCGGAATCAGGAAATGGCATCCGCTTCTCTCCATCAGGACAGGTTTTTGTGCTATGTTGATTTGAAAAAAATCAGATCTTGTGACAAAATCAACTACATTTTTGTGGCATTATCTACCCCAGTTCAAATAAGAATACAGTGGTACCTCGGGTTACATACGCTTCAGGTTACAGATGCTTCAGGTTACAGACTCCCCTAACCCAGAAATAGTACCTTGGGTTAAGAACTTTGCTTCAGGATGAGAACACAAATCGTTCTCCGGCGGCGTGGCGGCAGTGGGAGGCCCCATTAGCTAAAGTGGTGCTTCAGGTTAAGAACAGTTAAGTACTTAATCTGAGGTACCACTGTATAGTGTTTTCATTTAAAGTTGTAAAATAAACGGTACTAAACGTTTGCAGAATGTGCTTTCCAGTGATACAGTCACAGACCATATTTTGTCAATGTTTAGTAAAATAACTTGCAGTGTATTTTCAATTTAATGGCATTCAGTATGGTGCTGAACCTATTTACTCAGACACAAGTCCCATTGAGTTCAATGAGACATACAGCCTAGTAAGCTTAGAACTGGAACCTCGTTTCGTTTTCAAGACTGCAATCCTGTGCACTCCTTTGCAAAATCCTAAACTCTGCTGAACACATGGAGGCTTGTTTACAAGCCAGCAAGCAGAATATTGAAGGCATCGAGATTGCCAAAGACAGTTTGACCTTGCAGAAAGGAACAGGAAACAGGTAAGAGCCATTTTCCATGGAAAAACCTTCTGTGGGTGGGAGAAAGGCCTTTTTCCCCAGCTAGAACTCAACGGAGCTCAGTTCCACCACCTCTCAGGTGGGGCTCCATTGCCATTATAAGAGAACAAGGGAGGCATTCATGGTGAATTCTTGCACCTCTTTTTCTAGAAAAACTATCACTGAATGAGAGCATATGCAGGTCTTCTTCCCTCTCCCTGTATGTGCTTGTGTACAGTTATAAATGCAGTTACAATGACAGTAAAAAATGCAGTGCAATTATTCCACCACTTCCTTTCTAAAGCATGGCATGCCTTGGTTCTTCTTTTACTATGAAAGACTGGCATTAAAGAGGGCTAGGATAGAGTGAAGTGGAGGGGACAAATGCTAGCCAGTATGTAGCAAAAGCCACACAAACTTTTAACAATAACCCGAGACCTCAAACTTAACCCCCATGACAACACAATGAAATCGTATTACAGCCATGGGCAGAATTCCTGCCTCGCAGTGGGTTGGACTAGATGGCCATGGGGGTTTTCCTTCTGATATAGAAAAATAGGAGTCCCCTAAGTCCATGATCAAGGGACGCGGGTGGCGTTGTGGGTTAAACCAGAGAGCCTAGGATTTGCCAATCAGAAGGTCGGCGGTTCGAATCCCCGCGACGGGGTGAGCTCCCGTTGCTCGGTCCCTGCTCCGGCCAACCTAGCAGTTCGAAAGCACGTCAAAGTGCAAGTAGATAAATAGGTACCACTCCGGCGGGAAGGTAAACGGCGTTTCCATGCTCTGCTCTGGTTCGCCAGAAGCGGCTTAGTCATGCTGGCCACATGACCCAGAAGCTGCACGCCGGCTCCCTCAGCCAATAAAGCGAGATGAGCGCCGCAACCCCAGAGTCAGTCACGACTGGACCTAATGGTCAGGGGTCCCTTTACCTTACCTTTAAGTCCATGATCGGTCAGAGGTGAATGGATGGGGGCAGGAAGCAGGGAAAGCAAAGCAGATATTTATTTTTCTATAGCAACCAAATTCCCTCCCTTCCTAGCAAGGAGGCAGAGAGACCCAGAACCAAGAAGAAACACAATAATAATAATAATAATATTAATATTATTTATACCCCACCCATCTGGCTGGGTTTCCCCAGCCACTCTGGGCGGCTCCCAACAGAATATTAAAAACACGATAAAACATCAAACATTAAAAACTTCCCTAAACAGGGCTGCCTTCCTATCTTTTAAGGGTTTTCACTTTGGTGTGCATCCCCTCTACAAACAGTCAGAAATTACATCACACCTGAGGTGGGGTTACTGTGGCTCAGGCAGGCCAAGGTGTGATATTCCTGAGGATTTAAAACAGGGCTAAATTTTTTCTTTAATATAGATACATTTTTTTAAAAAAAAGACGTATCTTATTATCTACCCCAGTTCAAACAAGAATATAGTGTTTTCATTTTAAGTTGTAAAATAAACAGTACTAAACGTTTGCAGAATGTGCTTTCCAGTGATACAGTCACAGATTTAGCAAGTTTTACGTAGTTCCAAACACAGTTTACGCAAAACATTAGCATTGAATAGGACCATCAGGATGCCTCTCGGACATCCCTCAGTGCAAACAATTGCAATTATTACAAAGAAGGTTCATAGATATAGGAGAGGAATTCCTTCAGGAACTTCCCCTGATTGCTCTCTGCCTGTGTGTTCTCAGGCAAGGGGGATTAAGGAGGCAGAGGAAATATTGAGGGTCTTTAGCAGAGCCAGGGACGCGGGTGGCGCTGTGGGTAAAAGCCTCAGCGCCTAGGACTTGCCGATCGCATGGTCGGCGGTTCGAATCCCCGCGGTGGGGTGCGCTCCCGTCGCTCGGTCCCAGCGCCTGCCAACCTAGCAGTTCGAAAGCACCCCCGAGTGCAAGTAGATAAATAGGGACCGCTTACCAGCGGGAAGGTAAACGGCGTTCCGTGTGCTGCGCTGGCTTGCCAGAGGCAGCTTCATCACGCTGGCCACGTGACCCGTGTCTGCGGACAGCGCTGGCTCCCGGCCTATAGAGTGAGATGAGCGCACAACCCTAGAGTCTGGCAAGACTGGCCCGTACGGGCAGGGGTACCTTTACCTAGCAGAGCCAAGATGGCTTTTGGATTGCTCTCCTGTACTGTTTTAGACATTAAAAAATTCCTTCCAGTAGCACCTTAAGAGACCAACTAAGTTTGTTATTTGTATGAGCTTTCTTGAACAAACTTAGTTGGCCTCTTAAGGTGCTACTGGAAGGAATTTTTTTATTTTGTTTCGGCTACGGCAGACCAACACGGCTACCTATGGCACCTGTTTTAGACATGTGGTTTATATACTTATGTATGTGCATTTACCTTGTGCAATTATCCACATTTATCCTATACAGTGGTACCTCTGGTTACGTACTTAATTCGTTCCAGAGGTCCGTTCTTAACCTGAACCTGTTCTTAACCTGAAGCACCACTTTAGTTAATGGGGCTTCCCACTGCTGCCGTGCTGCCGCTGAACGATTTCTGTTCTCATCCTGAAGCAAAGTTCTTAACTCGAGGTACTATTTCTGGGTTAGCGGAGTCTGTAACCTGAAGCGTATGTATCCCGAGATACCACTACATTTGAGACCTTAGAGTTCCTATAACACTTCCAACTCTACAATTCTATGATTCTATCCTGAGGAAATTGCAAGAGACCCTTGCAAGCAGTTTGTTTGTTTGCTTGCTTGCACTAAGTTTAAGCCGTGGGCAGGTGGGCTGGGCGGATTTTGCAGGGCAGGACACGAGGGGAGGAGCAATCCTATTATTGCAGAGTCGGAAGGGACCCCAGGGGTCATCTGGTCCACACACCCCCCTGCAAGGAATATCCCCCTTTTGCACTTTTAGAGGGTCGCCAGCCTCACCTCCGCCCCAGCCCGGCTCAGGTGCACCAGGACGGCGGACGCCTCGTGGATCTCGCTGCCGTCGAAGACGCCGCAGCCAGCCAAGACCACGGCCACCCGCTTCCCCATCCTCGCCTGCGGGTCCCCCGCGACCACGGAGGAAGAGGCCGCAGGAAGGAAGGATCCGGTGCCGGATCCCGCCCCCTGCTGGTCCGGAAGAAGAGCCGTCGGGGCGGCGCTTTCTGTGACCCTTGGAGACGGGAGGACAGGAAAAACTTCGCGTCCTCCAGTAAACGGCGTCGTGCCTGGGATGCAAACATGCCTGCTCCCCTTTCGTTTCTGAGCGCAATGCGCGCTGATTTTGCAGCACATAGGAGGATAATCACACTACACATGCGGTTTGATCCCGGCGTGCACGTCCAAAAAAAAGCTTTTCACGCGTGAATATGATGATACTTAGTTTTTCCTCTTTGTAAGAGTAATCTGTGCTGATTGCAACACCTCTCTGAACTGTCTGGCCTAAGGGTAGCTAACACATATTTGAAACGAGCTAAAAGCCTGGGGATTTTAAAAGCCTAAATTGCAACCCCGGATCCGACGCTTTGTGCAAGGCGAACCACTCGCTCTCCGGCCACTGCACCTAAAGGAAACCCCAGGAATCACAGGACTGTAGAGCTGGAAGGGAGCCAGGGGTCATCTAGTCCAGCCCCCTGCAATGCAGGAATCTCAGCTAAAGCACCCGTGACAGGTGACCCTCCGTATAAAGGCTCCCTTCTCCATGCGCAAACAAAAAACGACCCGGTGGGGCTGAGAGAGCCGGAAGATCTGATTCCCCCATCGCGATCGCGGGACAGAAACCAGAGGCAGAGAGGGGAGGGAAACGACAAGAGAACCGTCTGGGAGGTTTCCGCACTGAGCATGTGCCCGACCCCTCGGCATGTGACGGGCTGAACTCTGCTCAGCTGACTGCTGGGCGGGCGAGAGAAACGCGGAAGCGGAGCTGGCCTGCCTTGCGCCGCTTGCTTTCTGCTTGCAGGGGAGCTGCATCATGGCTGCGGGCGGGGAGCCGGCGCGTCTGTGGCTGGTGCTGCTTTTGCTCCTGCAGTTGGAGACGCCCTGCAGCTCGGCCTGCGGCTCTCCGGGGCAGCAGGGGTGGCCTGTGCCTTACAGGTGAGAGGACGGTGTATGGGGAGGGGAGAGGGTCGTCGGGCAGGATCCTGCCCCCCGCAGCTGCCTAATAATGCAGGTGCGGTGATGGCTCACTTCCAAGAGAGGTTTGGGCTCCCCGTCCAAAAATTAGGATTTGCAAACATCCGGGCTGTCCCGAAAGTGGAACAAAGGAGTTGCATGCAATCCTGTCGTTCAGGTTTGTGCTTGCGCAGGAGAACTTTCCCCTCCTCTCCCCTGCCCCCCCCCCAAATCTGGGGGACCCTCTGAGCATATTTGGGGAAGGGTGGTGCCAGGGGGAGGAAAGGAAGAAGTCCTGTTGTGTCCGTGGAGCTTCAGATGTCCAGAGTGGGGTCATAGAGCTGGAAGGGATCCAGGGGTCATCTAGTCCAACCCGCTTACGATGCAGGAATCTTGCCTACAGGCATCCCTGGGTGGTCTCAAACCACCAGCCTTATGGTTAATAGCCAGGTGCGAGCGATGCAGGGTTTCAGATGGGACGCTTTTTCAACACAGATGGCTCCTTCATGCAGTGGTGACTTGTCAGGAGCTGGGCAGTCTCAAAATGGGGAGATTAAGTATAATTATGGGAGGTGGCTCTGCAAGGGAGAAAACTCAAGAGATGTGCAAGCAATAATAATCATAATAATAATTTATTATTTATACCCCGCCCATCTGGCTGGGCTTCCCCAGCCACTCTTGGCGGCTTCCAAAAAAAAATATTAAAATACTGTAATACATCAAACATTAAAAGCTTCCCTAAACAGGGCTGCTTTCAGATGTCTTCTAAAAGTCTGGTAGTTGTTGTTGCAAGAGATGACTTCCAGTTTACGGCCGTTTCTTTTTTCTAATCTGAACTTTTGGGTTTAAACAAAAAATTAAAAAAAAAAACATTTATTTTAATGCAGGCGTTTTGATTACCGCCCTAAAACAGATGCCTACTGCCAGGCTCGTTATACTTTCTGCCCAACTGGCTCTCCCATTCCGGTGATGAGAGATGACGATGTCCTGGAAGTATTTCGGTTACAGGCGCCTGTCTGGGAATTCAAATATGGAGCTCTCCTTGGTCATATGGTAAGGTCACATGTGTCTCCTCCTCTTCTGTTTTGTCAGCCTTTTGCTAGCATCCCAATTAACCTAGATTTCAAAAAGTGCAATACAGAACTGACATTCTTAATTTGATTAACTACAGACCTTGTAAATATATTCAGAAAACATTGTTTACCACTTTTCTGGCAACAGGAGAGTGTTAGAAAATGTTCTGAGAATTTTTAAGTAACAGCTTTGAAAGAAGCAATCTTTAAATGGCACTTTCAGGGCGATTTTAATTTTTTGTTTTATTACTATTCCTGGCTAGTGCCAGTCACTGGCATGTGACAGTGATTCACTCCCTCCTTCCAGATACTCAGCATGGAAAAGTTTCTCTGTTCCTGCAGAGAAATCACGGGCCGTCCACTTCCTGGAACTGCGCCATTTCCCCAGATTGCTTTGTTATTTTATAGCATTCGTAGTGTTGCCTTTCCTGCCATCCAAGGCATGTTACAAAAAACCCCAGTACGACAGCATAATTGGCCAATTAGCCTTACGAGCTGTGCAAGGTATGGCTCACTGATTCTCATAGTTGGTCTGCAATTTCTAGATTGTGGCAGTTCTGTGAACACTTACCTAGGAGCAAACCTAATTGAAAATTAAGCATGATTTATGGGTTGCACTGTGGGTTAAACCACAGAGCCTAGGACTTGCCGATCAGAAGGTCGGCGGTTTGAATCCCCATGACAGGGTGAGCTCCTGTTGCTCGGTCCCTGCTCCTGCCAAGTAAACGGCGTTTCCGTGCGCTGCTCTGGTTTGCCAGAAGCGGCTTAGACATGCTGGCCACATGTACGCTGGCTCCCTTGGCCAATAAAGCGAGATGAGCGCCGCAACCCCAGAGTCGGCCACAACTGGACCTAATGGTCAGGGGTCCCTTTTCCTTTATATGCATGCAGTGGGTCAGGCTCTTATCGATGTATAGGCAAACTAAGGCCTGGGGGCCGAATCTGGCCCAATCGCCTCCTAAATCTGGCCCATGGACGGTCCAGGAATCAGCATGTTTTTACATGCGTAGAATGTGTCCTTTTATTTAAAATACACCTCTGGGTATTTGTGGGGCACAGGAATTTGTTCATCCCCCCCCAATATAGTCCAGCCCCCCACAAGGTCTGAGAGACAGTGGACCGGCCCCCTGCTGAAAAAGTTTGCTGACCCCTGCTCTTACTGTTCAATCCTCTGTGTGTTTACTTAGACTCACGTCTCAATTGTATTTAGTGGGGCTTACTCCCATGTAAGTTTTCATAGGATTATAAAGCAGTGTTAGAAACTCAAGATATGTAAGCTAATCGCCAGATGGCACCTGACACCTAGGTCATGATCACCACGATGGAATTTCTCGGCAATTTTTTTTTTTTACACTGCAATTTATTATTCTTATTATTCATTTCTGTACCGCTTTATAATTAAAATTTTTAAAAGTCGCAAGGCGATTTACAACACATTAAAGCATCCAATAAAACAATCCAAAATAAATTGCAAGCTTCCAGGAAAATACTTCAGATCCTTTCCCCATATTTATTCACCTATTTAATTTATATAGCAGTAGTACTCTAGGAAGCCAGGGTGGTGCAGCGGTTAGAGTGTTAAACTAGGACCTGGGAGATCAGGGTTCGAATCCCTGCTCAGTCATGAAGCTCACCTTGGAATCAGTCACAGCCTCTTAACCTCCCTCACAGGGTCATGGTAGGGATAAACTGAGGTGGGGGGTGAACCATGTACTCCTTGGAGAGAAAAAAGCGTGTATATAAATGCAGTCAATAAGCTCTTCTGTGTAGCTGCTTAAGAAAGCTGGAGGGGTCAGCCAGATGGAGATGTCAATTGCCACCACATATCTATCATATGTGATGGACCTGTAAAAGTCCATAAATGGGTAAAAGAGTATTGGGAAATAATTCATAATGAATTGGGAAAAAAGGTTTAAAAGTACTTTCCCAAAAAAACCAGAGTCCTTTTTGTTGGGATAAATTCCCAGGTGTCAAAAAAGATTATTTATGTATGCCACTACTGCGGCCCGTGTTTTGTTAGCCCAAAAATGGAAAACGAGTGAAGTCCCAACTAAAGAAGAATGGCAACTTAACCTGATCTGATTTGCCATCTGATTTGAAAAATGTTTATTGAATATATGGAGGAAAACTATATATTTGAAAACGCGGGCAGCATTAAGATGAATTGAACAGTGTTAAATAAGTTTTGATGGATGTAATGATGGAATACTGAATGGTTTAGTTTATATAAAATATGCAGGGATTTATGTTATGCAAAATGAACCATGGAAAGAGAGGAAGGGAAATCATTGATATTTTAAGGTTGTTTAAATGAATATTCTAAATTGTAAAACAGAAAATTTAATTAAAATTATAGGAAAAAAGAGAGATTTCAGTTGCCAACCCGGCATCCAGAGAGCTCCATGTGGTCGCAATTGGACCTGCGCCAGCCGCAAAACGTGCCTGGCTAATTTCTAACACTGCCTTGGAGCAGTAAGGGGGAACCTGTGGCTTTTCAGATGTTTCTGGACTGCAGCTTCCATTGTACCTGACCATTGCTGGGTGGTGCTGATGAGAGTTCTGGTCCGACCACACTCGCTCCCCACCCCTGATTTAGAGTCCTTATAGAGAGAAGAAATGTGGAATGATGAATGAAGGCATGCCTTCACTTGTGTTGGTTGTTCCTTTCTTTTAGAAGATCATGCACGACGCTGTCGGTTTCAAGAGCTCCTTATCGGGGAAGAACTACACAATGGAGTGGTATGAGCTCTTCCAGCTGGGGAACTGCACCTTTCCTCATCTCCGGCCCAATTTGCTGGCCCCTTTTTGGTGCAATCAGGGGGCCGCCTGCTTTTATGAAGGGATAGATGACGCCCATTGGAAGGAGAACGGGACCTTGGTTCTGGTGACCACAATCTCAGGTAAACATGCAAACATTGTCATGGGGGTTGTTGATGTGGGTGGGATTCAGAAGTTGTTGGTGCATGATGATTCTTCTGGGTTTGGTTCAGGTCAGTAAGCAGTTGGTGGGTGTTACTGTATATCCGTAATTATAGGGACGCGGGTGGCGCTGTGGATTAAACCACAGAGCCTAGGACTTGCTGATCAGAAGGTTGGCGGTTCGAATCACCGCGACGGGGTGAGCTCCTGTTTTTCGGCCCCTGCTCCTGCCAACCTAGCAGTTCGAAAGCACATCAAAGTGCAAGTAGATAAATAGGTACCACTCCGGCGGGAAGGTAAACGGCATTTCCGTGCGCTGCTCTGGTTCGCCAGAAGCGGCTTACTATAAATGTGTGGTATGCACTACTCAACATTCATAAACACGCAGTTCAGAAATCACTCCAGTAACATTCGGAAATACGTGGAAATGATTATTCGTCTCCTTGTGAAAAGGGAAGCAATGCAATATATTTATTTTAGTTTACAGTGAATAAAATGATTTAGTGTCTTGTTTATATCTAAGTGGGATGCGGGTGGCGCTGTCATGCTGGCCACATGTCCCAGAAGCTGTACGCTGGCTCCCTCGGCCAATAAAGCAAGATGAGCGCCGCAACCCCAGAGTCGGCCACGACTGGACGTAATGGTCAGGGGTTCCTTTACCTTTACTGTATATCCGTACATCTTTGCAAATTGTCTGCAATCTCCATCCCACTTTTCTGGGAACCATCCTTGCTGAAATTAATCACTTTCATTTGAGTAGATGTGGTTAGAGCCGTTCCTCTGTTTTCTGTGGAACTGGGAAGATCTCCAGAGGTCTCCAGATTTGAACACTTCCTGGACACAGATTCTGTGTCATCATGTGCTTATACCAGGCATTCTGGTGTTCCTTCTGAAATAAATTTCAAAAAGTGACTGCTGTGCTTGCATAGGACCATCAGCCCAGCCTGTTGGGGAACACTGAGAGCCAGTGGGGTGTAGTGGTTAGTGCGTCGAACCCTGTGAGACACGGGTTCAAGCCCACACTCTGCCATAAAGCCGACTGAGAGCCCTTGGGTGTCTCTTAGCTTAACCTATACCTCACAGGATTGTTGTGGGGATTAAACGAGGAGGGAACCAAGCTGAGCTGCTTGAAGAAAAAGGTGGGAAAGGCTGCAGAATTAAGCAGGTTATTTTAAAGCACAGATAGTATTCGGCTGTACAGATATGATTCCCCTATCTCCTTCCCGTAGTGTGATATTGTGTTTTCTTCTTCTTGCACAGGAGCTATGTTTAATCAAATGGCGAAATGGGTGAAATACGACAACGAAACTGGCATTTACTACGAGACGTGGATGGTCAAAGAGAGCCCGCAGGAGCAGGCCAGAGTGTGGTTTGAGCCTTACGAATGCTCCAAGTTTGTCCAGAGGACATACCAAAAGCTGGCCGAGCTGGGGGCCATTTTTAAGAAGATACAAACAAATTACACCACTATTACTCTCTTCAGTGGAGAGCCTGTCTGCTTTGGAAATGAAACGGCTATATTTGGACCACACGGAAACAAAACGCTAGCTCTGGCCATTAGAGACTTCTATTCTCCTTTCAAACCTTATCATTCTGCCAAAGAGTTCTTTCTAAACCTCTTGAGGATATTTGATGAAGTGGCTGTGGACCATCAGTTTTACCTCTTCTATAACTTGGAATATTGGTTTCTGCCAATGAAATATCCTTTCATGAAAATAGCCTATGAAGAAATCCCATTGCCTCATTCAAACAGCACAAAGTTGGGCATATAGTTTTTCTTAATGCCTTTTTTTGTATAAAGACACACCAAAAAAAGCAAAATAAAACCCCCAAACCCATTTTATGCTGAGTTGCCTCAGACGTCTTTCAGGCTGACAAAGATGCCCGAAACTACTGGGATATACCTGGATTTTTACTAACGCTGAAAAGGTTATCTGCACAGGGAAATGAATGCATCAAACCTAAGCTATTTCACCTTTAACTGTGTGAGGGAATAAGATTCTTTTCCAAGCCTTCAATTTCCTTTGACTTCCAGAGACCCTTGATGTATGCCCCCCCAATGTGGGTGAATGAGGGTGGTAAATAATTATTCTGAAGTTCTCATTATGTGCCCTGTACCTGATTTGAATGGTTGCATTTAAACGTGGGAGCAGCCCTCCTGAGTGATTCCCCCACCTACTATTTTCATTTTATTACCCTCACTGTAGCACCTGTAGAGCAGGCATCCCCAACCTTTGGCCCTCCAGATGTTTTGGACTACAATTCCCATCATCCCTGACCACTGGTCCTGTTAGCTAGGGATCATGGGAGTTGTAGGCCAAAACATCTGGAGGGCCAAAGGTTGGGGATGCCTGCTGGTAGAGCTGCAGGAGTGGACAGCAGATTCAAGTAATGCTGGCACGCAGAAGTATGTGGGGGGGGAAATGGTTTTCAAGGATGCTTACTAAGCATTAGCGTTGGACAATCACATAGAATAGAAAATAGGATTGTGGCTGCACATACATTCCTAACCTTGAGGTCAACCTTAAGACAATTATGGGGATCTGCTTGAGCACTTTTAAGTAGCTGCTACTTACTCCAGGTGTGTTAAATTTATAGGTTGCTGCAATTCTAAAGGATGTTTTTCCTGGATGACAGCCAGCTGATCTGTGCTGTTGCTTGAACTACAAAGTTTTTCAAAATAGGCTCAATGAGTTGGCAGTGTTAATTTGTGTGTTGCAAAACTTCTAATCACAATGAAGTTACGTGCCTTGCTTTTAAAATATTTCTTGCTTGGGATTAAAATTTTGTGTCCTTTGTTTATCCATAATCCCTATAGTTTGGATTAAAGTTTTAATCCTAAAGGAGATCCAAGTAACTACTGGCCCAGAGGTCTTATCTCTATAACTGGGACAGTTTGTGCCAGTGTTTTACATCTTAAATGGAAACTTGGGTTAGTGAGCGTAATATCCTTGGGGAAGATCAAATCAGGTCTATTATTATTATTATTATTATTAATTATTATTATTATTTTCCCTCTAGATCTCAAAATAGTTTTTGAAATGGAGGAGAGCATTACAGTCAGTTTGCCATGTAGCAATTGGATGGGGTGAGGGACTGCCATTTGTGGGACTAGTATAAAGACCACTGGATTAAGTTGATCAGTTCTTTTGATCCTGACTGATAGCAGAAAGTTTTATAGCTTCTTAGACATGAGTGGTTTTCGGCACATGCAAGGCGACTTTTCCCTTCTAACACCACCACCCTCAAAATCATCTGAACCATCTGAAAAGTCATCCTTTAGGTGTGAGAGGTGGCTGTTACAGAAGGAAAATAAAACTGCTCAAGTGCTTGTGCCTCTCTAGACCCTGGCCTTGATCAGTAACCAATCTCTTTTGTACCATCGGCTAGGAAAATACAGCTGTTGTTCAGGCATGATGGCAGCAACCACCCACACCTTACTTGCCCCATGTCTTTCTGGTAGCAGTGGAGTCCAGGCAATAATTACTTTCTTCTTTACACTAAAAACCATTTATTCCATTTAACTATTTTGTACAAACATTTGGCTTTGTTTATTATTGAGGAAATACAAACAGCGTAATTCCTAAAAGTAAATGCTGTAGAACAGTTAGACCAGGGGCGGGGGACCAATCTTGAGCCATAATCAATATACAGCATACTCCTCCTATAATACTTTAGCTTCCTGAGCTTTAATAATACCTTAAAACAGGTTTATGCACAGATTTTAACACTCTATAAACGTCAAATTTAGGTCTTCAAAAGTGCAACAAATAAGCTTTTGAAAAACTCATTACTAGTAATTTTTACACACAAAAATATTTTCTAAAGTGATTTAATAAGCATTTTCTATATACAATTCAACTATGTAGGCTGTATTGCTCTGTCTTCACATGTTGTACCTTACATCCTGTTGTATGTAATCTGCAATTCCATAGGATAAATAGCTGAGTATAACATGGCCCAGGTAGCGTTAGTAACTCCAAGAGTCTACAAGAAAAGTGACCTTCCACCCTTTACAAATTGTACTTCAGTCTGTAAGGTCAATTGCAGTTCCTAAAGTTAGTTTAAATACTGACATTTATCAGAGTAAAGTCTGAGCTACAGCATCTGAACATCAGTTCACTATTTTCAGTTTCTACATACATTAAGGTAGACCCTGTCTCAAGAGGGGGAAAGAAAACTAAAAAGTTTTTTTATGGGCAAGTGTGTCAGAACACCCTCAGTCTCCCCTTTTAAATGTTCATTTTAGAAACCAACATTAAGTAGCACGTGAGTTTTCTACAACATATTACAAACTACAAATTAGCTTATGTTATTAAGCTGCAACATGGTTACGCTCAAAATGTAAGGTGCCTTCGTCAGAGACTACCAGGTGGGCATCATGTCTGGAAACCAAACCCTACCAAGATGTTTTGACACTTCCCAATGAATCTGCTCCAAGCTATACTTCTGGTCAGGAATCAAGACTTCCTCCATTATAGACAACTGAGACAGGCGGCCACCGCACATCTTAACAAACTCCACAAAGGCACTGCAGGAGACTTCGCACTCCCCAAGGCCAATCGCTGAGAGATTCTTACAGCGCTCTGCAATGCAAATCAACTCTTCATCCAGTGGCCGTAATCCATTGGCACACACCACCAGTTCAACCAAGCGAGGGCACGTCATCCCAACCCGGCCAAGCACTTCTTTGCTTACTGATCTCCCAAAATAAAGGTGAGTGACTGGTATTTCGTATCGGAAGAATAGGTCAAACTCTTCTTCATATAAGAAAAAATACATGACTAAGTTCACTTTGGGAGAATGTTTGATGAAAGCATCCCAACTGCTCTTCTCAATTGTGTGGAAGTGCGTCTGTCCAGGGTTTTCACTGACTACATCAATGCGCAAGTGTTCCAATCTGACGTGTTTTTCAGAAGACAAAGCAAGGAGGAGCTCATTGCTTAGCAGGTGGTAGTTCAACGCCAGCTCACGTAAACCATGACACTGATCAGCCACACAGAGGATACCTTGAGAAGAAAAGAAAATGTTAGAATGTGAATTCACTTCCAAAATGTCTCATCATCATCATCATCAGTAGTAGTAGTATACTGCCCTTCATCCAAAGATCACAGGGCTGTTCGCAACATTCATACCATGACTCAGCGTGACATGCCAATACAGATTTTTGAAACAGCTGTAATTGATTGGGACAACTGACTCCTAACACAGTAGTCAAGTCTATACATGCATATGTCAGTTTATTAAGCCAAATTATACATGAGCCAAGTGTCCCCATCCCTCTGGTACAATCCAACACTGCAAGGGCAATTAACCAGCATCTATTATGTCACACCACCCTATCCTTACGTGCTCTCAGAGGCCCACAATTCAGAACTTCCTGAACTAATCACAGTCTCCCAATACACTATGAGAAACTATGGAAAACACAGTCAGAATAAACTGGGATCATAAATCACATTCTGAAATTGCTGTAAGATCCTAGTTTGTTCAGTCCCGTAGTTTGACACTTAGAATATACTAGGAATCTATTATTAACCCAGAAACTGTTGAACAGCAGTGCACTGAAAATGAAAGAGGAATAGAGTAGCGTGAGCATACAGGCACAAGGCTCATTCGTATCTAGCCTTAGAGACGCATGTCTGAATTGAAGCAACACTAAAGCCAGAATGGTCATTTTACTTCTTCAATAGGACAGCAGTATTTCCACTGGTTACATAAGCTTCTCCTGCAAACCACTGAACACCAAAACAGTTTAAGATTCACTTAAGGCAGCTTAAACCTACCAAAATAAACAAAAAATTTAAAATACAAACAAGTATTTCCATAGATTATACTATATATAGTCAAGCAATTATATAACTGAATGTACTAAGAAAAAAATATGTGCTAATAATTCTGACATAGACTGGACAGTAAAAAATTAATTTAAGATAATCACACTTAGATATTCTAAGAGTAAGCTCACCTGCTGGAGAAACATGAGGACAACTGTTCATCTTCAACAGTTTCAGAGTATCACTGTTGTTAGCTACTAGGACCTTAAGAGATGGGTCATCTACTGGTGTATCATCTATCTTAAGTGAAGAAAGTGATTTGGAGTTTACAAACACCACAGTCAGTGCAGAAATAAAGTGTGACTGTAGAAAGGAGAAAAAAAATAGAGAAATCAAAAAGGAAACTTTATACCCACAATAGAAAATGTATTTCACCCACAAAGAAATCTGGACAATGACTCAAAATGTTGAGCAACCAACCTATTTTTCAGCTGCTCCTAAAACAGTACAGAGATATAGGCTAACTCAGTTTATGAATATTTATCACAAGTTCACAGTTTGCCACTCATCTGGAACAAGCTAAGATTGCCTCCAGCAAGCACCAAAAAGGCACATTTTAACAATAAGCGTAGCTTGTGGCTTGGAAGAAAGCCAAGACTGGATGTCCCAGATTTACACTGAGCTGCCTTTCTTTCGCCTACTGCAAATAATAGACAGGCTTTACCTCAGTAAGTACAGAGTTCTGCCAAAAATTTAATGCATCCAATTCCACTTGTGCCAGCAAACTCCAATCAGTGCAGTTGGGGAAACAGCCAAATTAGTGTCTGATGGCCCTGCTGAATGGCAGAGGAACTGGACTGAGCAGAGGTGCCTCTCAGCCCTGTGGGTCAGTTGGCCCAGGTGGTCTCCATTTGCCTCCCCTTCAACCCATGGAGTGGTAAGCAAAATCAGGGGTGCGAGGTAGCGGTTTTCATTGTGTGAGATCTACTTCTCTGTCTGGGTTTACCCTCTCCAAAGACTCAAAATGGTTATCTTCTGCTCACTGGGAACCCTGGTTCCTTCATCAGCCTCTCTAAAAGACGGCTTCCCAGATCTGTTCACCATGGCCAGCAGATTCTTGCCTCACGCTGGCAACAGCCAGACACTCCTGCTCCTTCCAGGAGTTCACCTCCTTGTTCCCCTTTTGCTGGGATGGACCTCCAGCCAGTAGCTTTTCTCTCCCTCAGCCTACCTTCCTCCAGGAGGATTTGAGGCCTTGTCAAGTAGCAGTGCCTGCAGCAATGTCTGGTTTCAGGCGTTTCCTACCTAACTGTTAGATGCAGAGGGGAAGTTGCAGGACTTCCCTGCCTGAAAGTTCCATTCCCTGCCAGCACCTTCTCAAGTTCCTACTGATGAGTCCAAGTCCTGTCAACTGGGGCCCTGGCTCTCTTAAGCAGGAAACACAGGGTGCAGCAAGGTCGTTCCTGGCAGCCTCTAACACAGAACAAAGCTTGCAATGCTCACTTTCATCATTGCTGCAACAACCAACACAGTGACAGAAAGAAACAGGGTGTGGGCCGATGGAGCACGCTGCATGGTTTGAAAAGGTCTGAAATAGGATCATCACGAAGGCAAAAAGCTTTTCACAGCACACACAAGGAACTGACAAATTCATAATTTGTTGGTTGATCAGCTTCCCTTCTAACAACCAATTTTTTCAGTAGGATCAATACCTTTGGCAAATCCATGAAGCTTGGTCGAGCAGTGGAAATTAGTCCTAGTGTTTTTAAAGAACAGTTCACAAGCTGTGATAAGATGTCACAAGCTGCTTCAGCCGATTCCTTGCTGCTGTCCACCTTAAAAAGGAAACAAACACACAATGGATGCAAATACCACTCCAAACACTGAAAAACTCTCTAAGCTGTTTTATTTAAAACCTTCATACTCTACCTCTTCATGGGCTTACACACATTCGCTATTATTAACTTTGTTGCTGCTACAAAAGATCAGACAAGAAAAGTAACTCCATTTTAGGGCACACATATGTTAAATG